ATTTCTGCTTGATAGTTATGGTTGAGTGACGACTGTTCTACTAGTTCCATATTCAATGTTTCGAGTGTTCATACGAGGCACTTGCGATTTTGCGATTCGCACGAATCGCGCGACGGATCGCGAAGTCTAGTTCAAGCCTAAGGAGCGAGCTTAGCGCGGATAAGCTTATCCGACCGAGCTATTTCCAGGTCGCTCATCCACAATTTGCTATTGCTCTCATCCGAGACACGCCCATCACCTAATCCCATGTAAAGGCCCATTATACACACGAATACCACCCCTCAGAGCTGGTTGGTCCAGAACCCAACCCCCTGACTCTTTCTGGTCTCTCGTTCTTACTCTGCCAAGTCTACCGTAGCTAACGCTCCCCGCAGCCCATAATGTTTGTTGGTAATAACAATCCAACAATCCCTAAGGCCTCCGCCCCCTCTAAGAGTTCAACTACGGCCGGCGAGATGCTGTTAAGAGCAGCAATGCCCTGGTGGGCGGCTCTCAAAAACACTGAAAAACAGCCTCAGTGCTGAGAAAAACAGACTCGTAAACGCAGATGTAATGGCTGACCTTGATCATAGTGAGGTAAGTGGGATGATGTGGTCCAGGAATAGGATTCTTCTTGTCGAGGATTTTCTTCTTTCTCTCAGTAAGTTTGTGAAGTGGTGGCATTAGCGAACCGAGGAAATCCCCGTCCGCATCCAACATCCCTTGCATGTTCACTGATTGCTCTGCTGCTCGGATCATATCTGAAAAAAGCAGTCACGATGCGAAAATGAAACGCCGGAGATTACGAGGTGTACACAACTGGCAAGGGCGTGAGCCGACTGGAAAACACATCGGAGGGGCGGAAAATCGATTCATCAAGGGGAAATAGAGGAACGAACTCGGCCAAAGGCAGTAACAATGGCAGGATTGATTAGAAACAGTGAGTCAGGTGACTGGAACGACGGAATTTGTCAGAGGCATTTATGAGCCAATAGCTTTCCTATGCAGAAAAAAAGCAATCAGTCATAGAGTGCGATGAAAGTGTAGAGACCAAGACGTAAAAACGATGAGAGAAGCCCCCAAAAAGGGTCTTTGCTAAGTGCCAGATGAAAAAATTCGGCTTCAGAATACTTTGGGGGGGGGGGAGAGCTGGCTATAAGGCCTAGTTTTAGGAAAGGATGAGCTTCGGGGAAAATCTGACTACTCGCCCGCAAAATCTTCGGGGAGAATGAGAATTGCTTGAATCCTCTATCTTCCCCAAGCCCCACCAGAGGCTTAGTCCTAGGAGGACAGGGAAGGAATGCCGGGTGTGTTGGGCTCTCCG